TGGAAATACCTGATTATTATAAAACTCAGTGCTCAGTGGTTTATTTAGCTTTTAGGGAATGCCATAGATTTTCCAAGTTTAGTGATTAAACTTTGGGAACTAAGTTTGTCCAAAGCCACAGAATTTTAAAAGTCAAAACTACTACAAGTTCATAAGGTCATTGCTTTGTGCAGGTGAGGTGTTTCAGCAGGTAAATGTGTTTGCTGCTCCAGCTCTGAGACCAGAGTTTGGTCCTGGAAACCAAGGATGGAGTGGGAAAACTTACTTCAAAGTTTACCTTTGACCTCCATACTTATGTCATGGCATTCTCTCTCTCTCTCTCTCTCTCTCTCTCTCTCTCTCTCTCTCTCTCTCTCTCTCTCTCTCTCTCACACACATTCATAAAATCAAGTTTTTTTATTTTTTGCTATGTTTGGTTTTACAAAGCCCACTGATTCACAAGGTGCACTATGGTGGCTACTTCTGTAATTGAACACTTGCTGCCCAGCTTGTGTGGCTGTTCAGGAAGTTGTGACCCTGAACACAGTGGGTAGAGTCGTGCTGGAGGAGTACCTCCCTGGACCACGCTTTGAGAATTTATCTCACTCCCCTTCAGCTCTTGTTCCCCAATTCCTGTGTGTGGTTGTGATGACTGTCTCAGCTTCCTGTCCCCACAGACAGCCTTCCCTGCCATTTCTGACATTAAGCCCCCTGGAAATACAAGCCAAATGCACTCTTCATTAAATGGCTTTTGGTCATGGTGTTTGCTTACAGTAACAAAAGCATAATTAATAGACGCGCTCTGGATATAAAAGTCATTAATGCAGTAAGTTAGGCATTTGCCTTTAAATATTTAAATTTTACATGCAGCTGAAATTTAGGGATAGGATATGACACTATCCTGACATGATTTTATAATTCAGTTTAACTATTTTATATTGATGAAAATTTCACTGAATCCCCCTCTAGGGTCTTTATTGCACCCATTTTTTTTAAATCTATTAAAACTTGAGAGTTCTCTTAATGGCGTCATCAACTGATAGAATGATCTACAAAAGCCAGGGAATGCTTTATACTGAGCCATCCATACTAAAGTATATGATGGAAAATAATTCAGTGACGGGTGCTTCTGACAGGAACTGAGCAGGCTGGAATGAAAGATGACACACACCAGGGCAAGAGCTCTGAGTGCCATGCTTCCCTGACTCCCAGATGAGGAGGCTCCAATCCTTCAGGGACAGCCACGATGATTTCTCTAAGTTTTGCCACTCACACTACTGAGTACGTCCTTTCCTTGTTTGCATTCCCCCCCTTTTTTTTGAAGAGATTAATATCATCACTCAAGGAACGGAAATATATTTGAATAGTATTACATACATTTGTGGGTAAACAACACAAACAAGTCGCCTTTGAAGAAAAAAAATGGTTACAAACATGTCACAAGGTAAATATCTTTTTTTGTAAAACGTGAAAAACCAAAAAATATTAATTTCAACAACTTAGCAATGACTTTTGAAAAAAAACATGTTGGCGAGAATTAGTGTACCTATCAAACCTAAAGGAAAAAGGTACATTACAGGAATGCATAAAAAACAAAAGAATAAAAGCATATATCAGTTAAAATAGGAAAATCCTAGAAAGAAAATAAAAGCTCACAAATAAAAGACTGACCAATAGGTTAAGTCATGCAAACCCTATGTTATTTGGAGTCAATATATGATACTAAAATACAGAAACAGAAACAAGGTAAGAGAAGTTTTTTTTAAAGGCCAAAATACACATCGATTATTTAAATGATGTATGCCTATGCATAAGATGAATTGATGATAAAGTATATGTCCTGTATATGCATTTCATCTGTGCTTAAAAGCTATCCTAGGGTCTCTGCACAGAAAGAAACTGAGGCTCAGGGCAGATGAGTATCAAAGTCACTAAATGGAAGGACAAGGACATAAACCAAAGATGTTTTGACGGAACATTTGTGTTTATTATACCCACATGTGACCTCATTTCATATAAGTTCCTGTGTCCCAGGAGATCTACAATAAGCAAGTATGGCTTTATCACAACAAGTAAACCAAATGTGGGCACAAAAGAAGACTTCTTCTCTCCCCCCTAACTTTTGAGACAGGGCCTCTCACTAATGCTGACATTAGCAGTTCCTGCCAGGTTGACTGACTGACAGCAAGTTCCTGGGATCTTCCTGTCTGCCTTCCTGAAAGCCAGTGTTGGGGTTTTAGGCATTCAGAAGATGCCTTGTTTATATGTGGTTGTTGGGGATCTGAATTCAGGCCCTCTTGCTTTTAAACTAAGCATTCCTACCACGTAAGCCATCTCCCCATCCTGCCACTGGAGTTTTTGAAACAAGGTTTCCCACTGAACCTGGAGTCCACAGTTTCAGCTACACAGGTCAGAAGACTTTTCTGAGCCATGTCAATTTGGCAAAGTTAATCCATTTAGTAAATATTTAATACTTCCCTTTCTTAGTTACTGTGCTAGGTCCTGGCGCAGCAGCAAGTATACTAATATAAGTGGATTTTTAAAAAAATTGTTACAGTGTCTTTAGAGGATAATTGGGGTGAGGGGAGACAACAAAGATGGATTCTGTCTACTTAGAGGAAATGAAGTATTTGCTTTAAGTGCTCTATTAAACCCCATAGTGTGGTCTTTAGTAATCGGCAGATAAATGTATTGGTGCTCACGTTTTCCCTTCTGGAGAGTGAAGTATCTTTATTGTTCTGTAGACAGAACTAGGCTATCCAAATCTCCTACAGAAATGCCAACGAATGGATTCCCGTCCCTTTTGACTCCCTGCTTCACTGCTAGTGACTACTTCTCCAGAAAAGCCCACACATTTCAGCAAATGGATTTCTAGTGAAAGATCCCATGTCTTCATAGCAGAGCATTCACACCTAAGTCCTTCAGTCTGTGAGTCAGCAGAATGCTTATCAATTAGGACAGAGACCATTCACTTTTATTTAGCTCTTTAACAAAACCAAGTAAGAATGTAGCCTTTTGTTTTCAAAGCATCTAGCCTGGGGGTATGCTAATGAGACTTGTTTATTCTGAAAAACTATAAGAAATCCTTAGGAATTATGATGGATTTAGACCATTGGCACTATGAGCTTAAATGAGCTAAATCCTGATAGGGTGGACATCCAAAACTGAGAAGAGAGAGGTACTCATTTGACTTTAAGAACGAGCACAGAGCCCAAAATAGGGACTAACCTAAGGAGAAGTTGAGGCAACACAGTCAAAAACAGTGGAAACGGGCAAAATGAACACCTTACACGGCTTGTTTTAAAGTGAGTGGCTTTCTTTATCTTTCGGAGACAATTTCAAGAGGGAAGATGGCTACCCGTGATCTGGGTCCAGGTATTATTTTCAAGGACAGGCATCTAATTTAATAAAACATATCCTTTTCTGTAATAATAAACACTTGTTTTCTTAGCTCCCCAAACTGCAAACAAACCTTACCCATGGGTCCTAAATACAGTCCTTAAGATTATAAATTAGTAAATAAACCTGCGTTGCCACGAGTGGGCTAGTTACTGTTTTAGTTCATGATAACGGGAGACGCTGCTTCATAATAGTAAGTTAACAGAAGGTCAAACTTCCCAGGCATGTGACTTGATGAGTATGAATTACCCTTTGATCAGTTGTCAGTGTTGCAATGCATGTCCCATGCATAACTGCTACTGTCTCCAGGGCAGACTTCGGAGATGCAGACAAAGAACCAGCTTCACAGTTTGTAAATTCTTTAACACATACAGCGGTCTAGTAGCTCAGAACTTAGGCGGAAATCTTAGTACAGGAGTAAGATTTACTTCTCTCTTTGCCAACTGAATGGTTTTCAGAAAGGCTCACACACCCTCCCCCCCCCTCCGAAAACCAGTGTGTCTGAGCACCGGAAATGCAGTCTCAGAAGTGTTTATCCTAGATGGGAACCAAACTAAGGTTCCTCTTTCTCTGTGATAGCTAACCCATGATGGACAGAATCCTGCTGTGACTGTCTCCCCTGCCCCCCTTTAAGGAGACGGAAAGGGGCAACTAAAAGCTTTCAAAGTTCTCCAGGCAAGACATAGAGGGATGAATTAACTGAAGGGCCTGTAGGGAGCCAGTAGGAATCTGGGAGTGTTGGAAACACTATGCTCAGAGCCACCGGGCAGGGTTCCTGGGCGACCAGGATCTCTCAAGCGAGCCTGCTTCCCTAGTTCTCTGTGGAGGAAGAGGACACACGCCTGGTCTTGCACCCATACCTTTTAGACCAGGTGATCCCTGTTCAGTCTCTGGGAGACCTCAGACTCCCGAGTGAGTGGTGCGGACTGCCTGGGACGCACCTCCTCCTAGCCTGGAGCAGGTCCCCACCCGATGCTCTGTTCTTCCGCCCTCCTCAGGTCCTCCGACATTTTTCACCAAGACCCAAGAGGTAGGGAGAAGAGGAGACAACAGGAAAGTGTCTCCTGCACCCAGCCTCTGCGACAGTCCCAGAAAAGAGAGGAGGAGGGAGGCTAGCGAGGAGGCAGCTAGAAGCTGTGACCCATCTGTAATCGGGAGAAAAAGCTCCCACAGCAAGGAAGTCTGTGATGCCACCCAGCGGGGCAGAGGCTGGGGGATGGTGGACGTTCCTGATCCTCACCCCCTCGGTTTCCATAAAACCGACCCGGTGCCATGCATACCAGAACTGGCTTTCTCTAGAGTAAAGGGCGGTGGAGGAACAAAAGAGACTGTCACCTTCTGCAACACACACACACACACACACACACACACACACACACACACACACACTCTCGCACGCACGCACACGCGCGCGCGCACACGCTCACAGCAGCTGCTCAAGGTATCTGTAATAACCATCATCTGCACTGAATCGCTTATTTTCCCTAAAGGCACCAACAGATAAAGGGAGAAACGAGACCATCCGAGGTGGTCTGCGGCTGAAACCAAACAGCCACTGCAAAGCTTGGGGACCCCGATCCCCTGTGCGCGCTCCCCCTCCCGCCACTGCAGAGCCCTCTCACCTCCAGGTCCCCGAAGGTGTTGAGTCCTTTCCCCACCGGAGCGCGGACACCCGAAACCGCGACCCGGCAGGACAGCGGTCCAGCCCCACTGCAAAGCCGGGGTTGGGGGAGATGCGAGTGGACTGAGTCCTGCGGCGGGCCACGCGGGATTCAACTTCGCGTAGCCACGGCGCGGTGCAGCCCAGTGAGACCCGCGCTCCCCCTGTCTACTGTCTCACCAGCCGGGGCACTGGCGACAGACGCACCCCCTGCCCCCTCTTTCCCTCACCTCCTCCTCCTCTCCGTGTGTGTGTGTGTGTGTGTGTGTGTGTGTGTGTGTGTGCGCGCGCGCGCGCGTGCGTGCGTGTGTGTGTGTGTGTGTGTGTGTGCGTGCGTGTGGGGGGGGCACAAAATGAGCAAAGGAAAAAAAATCAAACCCACCCATCAGTGCAAAGCAGACATTTTTATGTCATTTCTAATCCTATCAGGGATTCAAAGGTGGTGCCTTACCGGGTGACCTGGGGTGTGGGTGAGCGCACCGCGGTCCAAGAGTGCACGAGACTGGGCTGCTTAGTCCTCTAGAGGAGCCGGCTCACTGCCATCCGCCCAACTTCAGCACCCCGCGACGGAGACAGGGAGCCAGGCCAGCAGAGAGCGGAGAGGGAGGAGGCTGGGGTGGGCGGGGAGGGAGCAAGCGAGCGAGGGAGCAAGGGAGAGGCTAGCGGCGCATGCGTCTCGCAGCCCCTCGCTCTGCGCGGCCGGAGGTGAGGCGTCCTCCCCTTCAGCGGGCGCGCGCCCGCGTGAGTCACCACCGTCGTGTCCCCGACTGGTGTGCCCGCCCGGGGACCGAGCTCACTGTGTCTCGGTGCCAGGAGGCTTGATGACACCAGTGGGAGGCACGGGGTGCCTTCCTGGAAAGGACGCAATTTATAAGGAAGAATCCTCCTAATTCGCTTTCACCCATAGCCCAAGTAGTGTGCACCTAGTCCTGGGACCAGGCTTGCCGGTCTCTGAGGCATGCGAGGTGCCTCAGTCCTCTTGTCTGGGGGGGTTTAAGGGAGTGTAAACAAGTTTGAGTCTTTTACTTTTATTGATGTCTTATCCAGAAATACCCAAGAATTCCTCCAGGCGCTCTCTGGCCTTAGGTAGATACACCCTCTGGGCTACTGGAGCTAGAGTTCAGTGAGAGAAACCTAATGCAAGGCAGGAGGCAAGAACACTTAGCCAGCTGTGGAAATTTGGGGCCTAAAGCATCCTTATAGGACCCCTTGACAGTGACAGGGATTGCTAATCTGCTCCCCGGCAGAGCCCAGCTTGGTGATGAAGGAGCCTTGGATGCTTAATGCATTCCAAGTCCTAGATTGTACCTCCTGTGATTAGGCTGAAGTGTGAGGCAGAGCAAGGAGAGCGGATGTCTTTCTCTTTAGATTCTACATCTGTGGGAAGAGGAGTGAGCTCCTGCGGGAGTGATTAGGCTCTTTCCTTACACCTAATTAGAACTGATTGATTGTAGATGTATATGACAGCTCCTGCTGGGGTCCGTTGTATCCATCTATTGCCCCCTTCAATGAATATAACTGGGGGTGTGCTCTTTTCTTCAGTTATGCCCAATGGCTTTGTGTACTAGTGCCCTGAAAATGCACTCTTTGGGGCTGATCTACAAACTCTACTGATATTTAGTGAGAAATAAATACAGAAATGGAGAATGAAATTTAGGAATTTTCGTAGCAATTTACCATTGCCCTGGCATCTGAGTGCTTCAGTCAGGTGTAGCTGACGTGCTCTATTTTAAGCGTAGTTCATATGTCGTTGTGGTGTGGTGGTGGTGGTTGGAGATTACAAAAGTACATTTTGGTCCATTATGGGCACTCTAACAACATATCACAGAGTGGGTGACTCATGGACAACAGAAACTAACCCATCACAGTACTGGAGAGAGTCAGAGTCCAAGGTCAGATGTATTCAGGTTGGGTGCTTTATGAGGGGTCAAGTACTGACATATGGAATGTTTTGGAGTCGTACACTCGGAGTATGTGATATAAGACAGCCCTCTGGTATGACATTTATAAAAACCACTACATCTAAACATGATGCTTTATCCTTGTGTTCTAACCACTTTTGAAGTAACACCTTTGACTGCAATTACTTTGAAAGTTAGGGTTTCAACAAAGGGACTGATGGAGACAAGTGTTCTATATTATTGGTCCATAATGGACCAAAAAAAAATTCTCCCAAAATGGTATAAGCAGCAGTGACTCCTTCATAACACCCTCTTGCACTTGTATCTTTTTTCTTAATCTTTAATGAGCTTTTGCTGACCTATCTTAACTGAAGAATTACAGCCATTTATAATTCTTGAACAACTGCCTTTACTGTAACAGTTACTGCCATTAATATTTATTGAGCAATTAGTTCCTGCTGGATACTGGCCTAAATTCTTTTCATGTGTTCCCTATTCTCTTTGCACAACAACCCCACAAGGTAGATACTATTATTATCATGTTTAACAGGCATCTCACAGGCTGAGTGGAGGAAATCCACCCCCTCCAAACCTGTTCCTCCTTGGATTGTTCAACCCAGTTATCCAATCCAAAAATGTACAAGCCATCCTTGCTTTACCTCCTTATCTTCATCCTCATCCAGTTAATTAGCAAGTCATATTTTCTCTTCCTCAAAAATACATACCCAATTCGTACACTCGGTTCCTTCTCCACTGTGGTGGCCTTGATCCAATCTACTACCATCTCTCGCCTAGATAACTCAAGGCCTTCTATTTGGATCCCTTGTTTTCTCCTTCCCAGGCACTCTTAATATCAGCTTAATGATCTTCTTGAAGCATACAGATCTTCTCATGTGCCTGCTTAAAATCCTCCAGACTTCCCTTGTATTTTAAAGATAGCCGTGACCCATGGAAGGTTCGGAAGTTCTGTTCAATAGTCTTCCGAGTTTATTTGCTGTTATCTTGTTTCCATGGACCATAGCGATGATTGTTCTGGCTGTACAGGGCTGTCAGCATATGATATCTATTGTCTTCTTCCTGGAATTCTATTCATGTACTTCCTTACATAGCAGGCTATTTAATATCATGGAGGCATCTGCTCCTAAGAAAGGCCTGATCCGAGTACCATGTAAACTATGCCAATGAGCCAAGCAGTTCTTTTCTATTTAGAAGGATCTCCTTGTCTTGTTTTATTTTATTAAAGAAATACTTTTTCAATATCTAAATAAGTTGCTTAGTTTCTACCTTTTCACTCCATATTAGAATAAAGTCTTCCAAAACTTCACTTTTTTTTTCTGTTGCATCTCTGCAGTCCAGAACAGGATTCAGCACGTAATATCAACTTGGTGAATATCTATTGAATGAACGAGTGAAGGACTGAATAAATTAAAAACCTAGAAAATGTGTCTTTGGTGTTTACTGCTGGCTCTTCTTGGATTCTAATTGCTTCTCACCATAGTCTGTTGCTTCTAAACACATACAGCTCACGGTTCCCTCTGCCCAACCTAGGAACGATGGCTCCAGGTGGCACACATTTAACCTATATGCAAGGGTCAAGTTCCAACAAACTTTAAAACAAGCATACCACACTTTTTTCCACTATCAAGAATTAGCCCTGTAGCCTACTGCATGCTAGGCAAGGTCTCTATCACTGAATGTCCCAGCCTGCTTTTTAACCTTTTTATTTTGAGACATAGTCTCACTAAGTTGCCCGAGCTGTCCCCGAACTCACTACGGAGTGTAAGTGTAACTTGAATTTGCAACCTCTTGCCTGACACTCGACTCCTAGGTATATAGGGTTATAGATTTGTGCTGTACCAGATATTTACTAAAGCCAGATGTAAAATCGTGTGTGTGTGTGTGTGTGTGTGTGTGTGTGTGTGTTGTGATTCCTCATACGTTATAGCCAGAATATGATAATGCTCTAAGATCTGGACACGTTGACTACCGTCTAGGAGAAGGCAAGATGCAAGCACGTCCAATCAGAGCCTTCATCATCTTCATAGCCTTCATCATCTTCATCTTGTAATTCTTTCAGTCTCTTCATATATATCTTGGTCTTAGCCAGTGTCTACAGCCGTCTTGACATCATGACACCCAGGTCAACATCTCAAACTTTATAAATGTCTAATATTTTCCCACCACTGTCATCTATGTTCTTTTTGAAAAACTGTCACTGCGGTATACAAGTGTCTCATGTGAGTCAGAAATGAATTGCTGTCCATCTTGACAATGGGGACACCTGCTGTATGGTTCATACAGACCTCAGACCCCATCGAACTCATCAGCATTAAACATTGATGTGGTAGTATCTGTGAAAAGCAGAATCTCACCACTAACATCTCTAGGTTGCAGCAGGTGTGTTTGTCAAGTAGGGAAAACCTGAGCGCAATGGCAGTTTGGGTATAATGCTTTCTTAATAAAGTAGACTTTAAAGGAGACTTACAGATCAGATATTTGCAGATAGAAGATACTGGAAAAATGAACAGCTGTCAAGCAGCTGCAGTACATTTACTTATAATTACAGATATTTGTCTTTGTTAGTGGAAGTGACCTCAATAAATCTGATACCCCTAGAAGTTGTTCCATTTTATTCTCCTTTTCCACAGTTGCTTTATCTGAAAGCAACTACTTTATCCCTTACAAGGAACAGGGAAAAGAAAGACGTTTAGAATTTAGAAGCTGTGACTACTACATTCAGATTAATGTCTGAAGCATGGGACAGTATCCTATGACCGAGAATGTGAATACAGTTTCTATTATGTTAGTAATGCTGGGCGTGGTGGCACACGCCTATAGTTCCAGCTACTCGGGAGGCTGAGACAGGAGCATTGCTTGAGTCCCAGAGTTTTGGGCTGTAGTGCACTCTGCTGATCCGGTGTCCCCACTAAGTTAGGTATCAATATGGTGACCTTCCAGGCGCAGGGGCCACCAGGTTGCCTAAGGAGGAGTGAGCTGGCCCAGGTCGGAAGCAGAGCAGGACTACTATGTTAGTGAAAGAACTTACAGTGTTTCAACTGCTTTTAAACTACAGCTTTTTGACTGTGTCATCCCAGAGAACAGAAGGTGGAAACCCTTGTTCATCTTTATGAATATTTGAAAGAGATAAGGTAAAGGAAAAAAAGATAAAATGAAAAAGCAGACTGCCTCCCAGATATGTGAAATGGAATATAGCTTCATTTTTTTTTTTAATCCCAAGACAGGGTTTCTCTGCATTGTTTTGGAGGCTGTCCTGGAACTCTCTCTGTAGACCAGGCTGGCCTCGAATTCACAGAGATCC